CCCCTTCGTGCTCTGTTTGCCTCCAAAGCCCAGCAACATAAACGAAACTGCATTAGCTTACGATGTTCTAAACGAGGAATGAAAACCTTAGCATGTGTTGGCCACATGACGGCTGCGGCTCCCGAAAAGGGCAGCCCCATCCAGTGCTTATACTTCGCCATTTGCACTCCCGGTTGCTTCCCATCTGATGGGTACTCCTCTGGCAAGACAGTCAGACGCGTATGGTCCCAGCCGCTCATCAGACGCTCTCTTAGTGCCGTTATCATCGCTCCTTCGGGTAGAGGTCTACTCAACCAGTCAACACGCTCCTTTACCCCCACGACTTCTTGCGGTATTCCGCTCCAAATGTTGCACTCCAAGAAGGAAAACAGTCGTAACATTGAGATTCCCCAACCCTCCCATTCCGGGTTGGTCAGGGCATAGGCGATCTGGCAGCCCTTGAGCCCTCGGCTCGTATTAGGGTGGTTTGCAGGTACGGGGAACGCACCCAAGACCATGTGTGTGTGTGTGTTACATGGTTGGGGGTGCGTGACCCCATACCTGTAAGACTACCCATACGAGCCGAGGGCCCAAGGGCAATACTACAACGCCTAAAAGCCACGGAGAAAAAGGAAAAAACACCGCACATCAGCCCAGACTAACGTCCAAAGTGGGTAATTGAGTTTCGGTGAGCCCACATACGTTCCAACATCCTCGCCAGACGTGCGGGTTCCCATTGCATGGCCTCCAACATACTCTGTTGATGATCGAATCCCTCTTCAGCACGAATATCATTATAGGCTGGGCATTCCAATAACACGTGTTTTTCATCCTCAATTCGGCTATTAGTACCACAACAGCGGCAAAACCGCTGCCCCCTGGGGACATGGTGCTTGCCCCTTCGTGCTCTGTTTGCCTCCAAAGCCCAGCAACATAAACGAAACTGCATTAGCTTACGATGTTCTAAACGAGGAATGAAAACCTTAGCATGTGTTGGCCACATGACGGCTGCGGCTCCCGAAAAGGGCAGCCCCATCCAGTGCTTATACTTCGCCATTTGCACTCCCGGTTGCTTCCCATCTGA